CGCGCGAAATTGGCACCGTAGGTAGACCAGGTGCATTGACATTTGGGGCCGCGTGCGATTTTTTATCAATGACGAGTCTGTTTACAATTCGATAACGACGTCAGCACGTTTTACGCTGGCCAATGAAAAATATAGTAATGGTCGCTGACACGCGACTTGCATTTGAGACACACTACAGTCTATGTTGTTTTTGGGTGTCACAAAGAGATCGAGACATTTGTATCGACACAGGAATTTACCCTAAACCCTAGTCACCTAATCCTAAGCCATGACTATTATTCTAACATGGTAATCAGAGCAGGAACCTTCTGCGGCCTTCCTTATCGGGCCCACCAGTCTGCTTCCGCTGCTGTGCCGCGCGCTCGGGGCGCGCGACATTTTTTCTTCCCGCCGCGCGCCTGCCCCGTCGGCCTGCGCGTCCCCCCCCCCCCCCCCCCCCCCCCCCCCCCCCCCCCCCCCGCTTTCCCCGTCGCGGCGCCCTGAGGAGCCGCGCGCGGCCCCCTGCTGCCGCGTCGCGGCGCCCTGGGGAGCCGTGCACGGCCCCCGTTTCCCCGTCGCGGCGCCCTGGGGAGCCGCGCGCGGCCCCCCGCTGCCCCGTCGCGACGCCCTGGGGAGCCGCGCGCGGCCCCCGTTTCCCCGTCGCGGCGCCCTGGGGAGCCGCGCGCGGCCCCCCGCTGACTCGTCGCAGCGCCCAGGGGAGCCGCGCACCGCCCTCGGAGACGCGCGCGCCCGTCCCCCAGGACCCGCGTGCCCCTCCCTGGACCCACGCGCCGCCCCCGGGGACCTTCGCGCTCCCCCCCGTCGACCCGCGCGCCGCCCGCGCTGCTTCCCGCGCTCCTACCTACGTTAGGGTTTGGGGGTGGCGGACGTGGGGGTGCACGGTGTGGGTAACCTGCAGCTCCTCCTCCTCCTTCGTCTCCCACTGCTGCAGCTGCCGCTGAGGGGGGTGGGTGTGTGGGAGCCGAGGGTTTAGGGTTTAAGGGGGGTGCCGTGGGAGTGGAGCTAGGGTTCAGCAGGGGGTGTGTGTCAAGGGTGTGGGTCAGTTGGAGGAGGTTGTGTGGAGGTAGCTGTCGTGTCGCCTGCAGCGCCTGTAGTCCGTCGCCCTTGCTTCGGTAGCCAGTGAGCCTGTTGCACCAGTCGCCAGTGGGTCCGTTGCTCCTGCCGCTCGTCTTAGCCGCGGAGCCAGTCACTCCAGTAGTCCGTCGCCCTTGCTTCAATAGCCACTGAGTCAGCCGCTCCTGTGCCCGTGCCTCTGCAGCTTCAGCAGTCGCCTCCCATCTCTTCTCCTCTCACAGTCACTCATCCTCCTCACTTCGCCTTTTCTTCTGCTGCGCCCTACAGGGTGTACCATTTCATGGGTATTCTGCTCAATGGCTATTCCTGCATGCACTTAGGGGGTGTGTCATAATATATTTTATATATATGTCTGTATAAGTGCATGTAGTCCTAGCTATAGAGTAGTTACCTAGTGTTCTGTGTGGTGGTGCACCACTCCTTGCTGGTTCACTTCTATTTGTACCACTCTTTTCATAGTGCAACCCCTCCTTTTGCTTGGACTTCTCCTTTGCCTAGGCTAAACCCTAGTCACCTAGTCCTAAGCCATGCCTATTATTCTAACAAGTTGCAAGCTTGCTTGCTCTTAAGATTGCCCGCTGCGAGTTTGCTGGCTGCCACTTTGTGCCGTGTACGTTGCTGATTCTTAAATTGAAACGCAGTATGGTCAATTCCTCCGCATAGGATTTTGATGCCTCAAGAAACAACGCAGCAACTTTCTATATTACTAGTAACACCTTAGGGTGATTGATTGGTCATATAGTGTGCAATAATTATCATTGGTTTGTCCTACTGCATTTTGAGCTTGATTCCAGAGCTATTGCTCCTTAGTGCGTTCGCGTACTATGCCGTTCCATACCTTCAAGCACCTTTAGCTCTGAGCACTATGGAAGCTCTCTCACTTACTGCCCGCCCTTCACACACAATCATTTGCGCCACCGGTGTTGTCTGATCCGAATAGCGCGTCACACGGCACCGATACACGTGATTGCGGAAGCTACAGACACAGGCTACTAATGCCACGCAAGCAAGGACCCGTCATGAACCCATCATTATTGGTTTCCATCCATCCGCTTCCCCCTCTGTCTCCCCCGCCCCCCCTTTTCCCCCTGGCGCATGACCATGTACACTGATGGGGAATGCGGGGGAGGAAGGAGATGGGGCGGAGGGGCTGGGGGATGGGGGTGGAGAAAGGGCGGCGGAATTTGGCAGTGTCTGGGAGAGGCGGCTGCTGTACTGTGTGCCGGTGAGTCCCCCTTTTGGACGGTTTGGCTCCACATGTGAAGCATCACTTGGGCTATGCACTCATCCGATCATTATTTTTTTCACCTCTGGTGTGAATTCCATACTCCTGCCCCTCTTCTTTTCTCCCCTACTCTCAATTTCCCCAATTCCACTTCCTCCTCCCTCATTCACTCCTCCTCTCCACCTCTCCCTTCATCCATTTTGTATCGTTATCCCCTTTCCGTCCTCTCCTCTCTCCTCCCCCCCACCTCCCCCCCTGGTGCCAGGGGAGCAGCCTGATTGACTTACCTTGCGTGTGTGCCTGTTGAGTCATCCGTGCCTGTCTGCGCTACCCCTGTCATATGTTCAATGTGTGAGCCTTGACACAAAGCGCCTTGACAGGTGAGTTTTATGCCCCATGTTTGAATGCTGTTCATGGTGCTGTTTTCATTCAGTTTTCTGATGCTCTGGACTGCAATGTTCATGCCATTGAATGCACTCATTTGCCAAACAGCATTAAACAAGTGCAGTAGCCAGTGCCGATTGTGTTCACTTGCTCTGAGATGACTTTTGAGTCGACTCAAAAGTCACCTCAATGCAACAGTCAGTAGCCAGTGCAGTTTGGTGTTCACTTGCTCTGTGCCCGCTTCCCATCATTTCTCTTTTCTCCCAGCCACTAATGTGATTTTGAATCGTCAATTCGCCCTCATACCCCAAACACTGTCAGTGAAGTGAGTAGGGACCGGAGGTGCAGCGAACGATGCTGGAGCTGTTGAGTCAGCAGGATGGATTTAGCAGCGATGACAGAATAAGGTGAGATGGTCAGACAAGACAAATCAAGGTGAGATGCTCAATCGAGACAGGATCAAGGTGAGATGGTGAGTCGAGACAGGATCAAAGTGAGATGGTGAGTCGAGACAGAATTAAACTGAGATGGTTGGTCGAGACAGAATCAAGGTGAGATGGTTAATCGAGACAGAATCAAGGTGAGATGGTTAGTCGAGACAAGATTAAGACGAGATGGGTGAGTCGAGACAGAATCAAGGTGAGATGGTGAGTCGAGACAGAATCAAGGTGAAATGGTTAGTCAAGACAAAATAAATGTGAGATGGTCAGTCGAGATAGAATCAAGGTAAGATGGTCAGTCGAGACAAGATCAAGGTGAGATGGTGAGTCGAGACAGGATCAAGGTAAGATGGTGGATCGAGTCAGAATCAAGATAAGATGGTCAGTCGAGACAGGGTCAAGGTGAGATGGTGGGTCGAGACAGAATCAGAGTCAGATGGTAGGTCGAGACAGAATTAAGGTGAGATGGTTAGTCGAGACACGATGCAAAGAATTTGCGTATTGAAAGTGATACGTCCCCTAGATAAGTAGCTGCTCAATGTGCTGATGAGTAGAGAACAGGCCCCTAGATTGGTTTTGGGGTAAGCTGAAAATGTGAAAAGTTAAATGTGGTTGCTAGGTTGTAGTGAGTTTGCTTGTGCTCTTTATTCAAGTGCTGTTCCTGCCTCACCACCTCTCTGCCATCTTATCATCTTTACTCCTCTCCCGGCATGCTTGCCCTGCGCAGCGATGCCACCGAGGTGATTGCCTAATCCAAGCAATTAACTCTTATTGTGTACATCCCTACATCCCTTCTTGTGTAACTTATCAGCCTCGATTGAACATGCCGCGTGCCTTGCGAACCAGTGAATCATGTGCATGCATTCACTTTGATTGCAGGTGACGCATGAAGACTTTGATGAGGAAAACATTCAAATGCAAGCCAAGAAAAAAGGCTTGCTTGAACTACTATGCATTAATTTGAAACCGTCTTCAATTCTGATATTGTGGCTGCTTTGGGTATCTTTTTTCTGCACATGATGTGTGTTTTTGTGGTGTGTTTTTCTGGTCATGGCTGGTGGTGTCTGTCACTACCTTGCTGTGAGAGTGCTTATGAGGGGAGATTTAAACTTAGCGGGGGTAGAGTAAGGCCTCAGATTCATTTTTGCCTAGGCTGAAAAATAAGAGTTGGTACAGAATACGTTGCAGAAAATCATATAAATAATCCATTTTATGCCATTTTATAATGCAAATCTACTAGATCACATCAACTAAAGAGCACTCAGGTGAAATTAACGATGACCAGGTGTAACCGTGCAGTAGGGTGGGTCAGACATAGTTCGTTTTTGGTTCTGAATCACGGTTCAAAATTGTGGGTGTCGGTTCAAAGCGGTTAAGAGTTAATACCGCTTTAGAATGCACAGTAGCGTTTTCCACCGCAAGTTCCTGACATCACACAAGCAACAACAGCATCACACAAGCAACAACAGCATTGTGACTTCCACAGCACAATGCTGGGAGGGATACAGATGTGACGTGCAAGTCACTCGCAACATATTGCTCTGGTACTTCCAGTCTTGACCTTTTCGTCCCTAGAATCGACAAGTCACGCAGACGCCACTATCTGCGCTACCGTGCTTGCCACTTTCCGCGCTTTTATTTTTTTACGCGATGTGCGTCGCGACGCGGAGACCCAGCAGGGCGAGGTTCTCTAGTATGCTGGAAATGGCTATATATCACCATCAACTCCTGAGTCTACCAGAAGCGATCTTAGTCTTTTCATATTTCCAGCGTTCTCAATCATCCATCTATCAGGCTGCTTAGTAATCCTTCGTCAATCTGACTGATTCTTAACCAACTGCACCTCTCTCGAAGTCATGGCGTTCACTTTCCCCACAATGAGGAGCCTAGTACTTGTGGTTGCTGCAATTTTCACAGTCTTCGCACGCTTCGGCGTAGCAGCTGCCACTGAGACTATTAACTACGACTGCTTCACGCCGTGCAATAGCCCACAGAACGCGAAAGATGTAGTTGCGTCCTGCGTCGAAGATTGCGCGGTATGTCACGCTCTGATCGCGGTTTACTTACCTACCCGCGGTGGAAATGTGGAGAAAAAAGGCTCGAATTGCTCATTCCTCATTCCTCATAACTCTTTGATAAAAACTCAAACCTCCATTTTCCTTGCTCCGGCCCCTTCCCCTTACCCCCTCTCTCCTCATAAATATGAACCGCGTTGGACCTAGATGAAACTTATCGATCACTAACATTGCATGACATTGCGATTGGTTGCAAAACTTGCTCCCTGCAGCTGTGCGTTGCGACGAGTAGTGGCTGCAGTTTTAGCTTCAAGCCCATTTGGGTTGATGCGGCCAACACTGGTACGTCTCGCTAGAGCCCTGGTTTCGTCTCCATTCTTCTTTTCTCCGTAGATCAAGAATTGGTGATACCGGAGTTGATCACAAAGATTCACTTTAAGTGTGTATTTCTGATGCCTGTGGTGACCCACTGCTTGCACCTAACTGCTTTATGTGGCGTGTCATCTCAACGAATTAGAAACACTCACTTTGCGCTTCACATTCCCCTGTTCTTCTCCCGTCCGCCTCCTGCATCTTTCCAGGTCAAGTGTACCAGGGAGGCCAGTGCAATAAGTCATGCGGTCTTTCGTGGTGGAGCTGGCTGCTCATTGCCATCTCCATTTTGTTGTTCGTTGTTCTCATCGCGTTCATTATCTACCGCTGCTGCTGCAGCAAGACCAATGAGGTTGCCAAAGCTGCTGACATTGAGCAATCCTGACATTGCTGTTTGGTGACACGTCTTCCTATTCACGGGATGCAAGCAAGTGCCTACCGTAGGACATAGAAACTGATACCGAAAGTGCGCTGCTAGAAGTGTTGATGAGTTGTAGATAATGTAGACAATGCTAGTGAAATGCTTATTGCTGCTGTTCGGGCATGAAATGCAGAATCTGAGAGCAACACACATATCACTTTGTTGAACTTACGTAGGTAATCTGAAATGTTTCTTCGGTAGCTTGGTACTTGATTGAACAATTGTGTGTCGGAGACAACCCGCGCTTTTTCCGCTCGATACTGACCCCCTCGATTCAGTCGTCATAGTGTCAGACACTTCCCCCGATCCCCATACCATACCGCACAACAAGAGGCTGTTTGCGATCTGCGGTTACCCGCGCGACAAATGGGTAACCAGTTGACAAGCGAAGCTGACTGGTAAACTATTTGTTCCTGGCTTCCACCCACACCCCAACCCATGCCTCTCCTTCCTGCAACTCCACGAATCTGTTTGGATCTGCGCTCGGTAGACGAATCGACAGATCATCATCAACTTGTGCTCTCGGTAACGCCAGTGGCGACCGCCAGTCGCGGGGCGCCAGTCGCGGATCGCCAGGTCGCTAGCGATGGGGGGTCCCGCCTTCGATCTTCTCGCGAATCCGCTGGGAGCGGTGCGCGTCCTCTTCGACCGCGAGGTCCACCGGCTCCGCAGCGCCGCACAAACCGGCGGACAAGGCGGCGGCGATGGCGGAGGCGCGCAGGAGGCGATAAAGCGGCAGCTGGCGGAAGGGGACTGGGGAGTTCGCACGCTCGCTGACGAATTCTTGTTTCGCGATGGGAACATAGATAAGGTTGAGAGCTTTGATTCGTTTCCGTCTAGACTTTGCGAAGCTCGTGCTGACAAATCGTTGCATTCAATGACCGTTCTGCACTGCACAGAGTCGGTCCTCACACCTGCACGGTCAATATTGCTTTCTACTCCCCACCCCCTCCTCCTCCCCACCAGGTGCCGGAGATCGATTCAGTTGGCGTGGATCACGTGCTTTTTTATTCGATCCACGTGTATTTTAACCTCCTCCTTGGCTCTGCTTGCTCGCCAGGTGCCCGAGATCAACTCAGTGGGCGTGGATCACGTGCCGGTGGGCTCTCTTGTCCGATTCCGAGGCATGGTGAGCGCCTTGACTCGCCTTGACTCGCATTGACTTCCTTCATTTGACTTGACTTACATTGATTTCGTGGATCGCATGCATGTGGGCTCCCTTGTCAGATTCCGGGGCATGGTCAGTGCGTTGAGCCGCATTGACCCGCGTTGACTCCCTTGATCTGATTGTTTCTGGCTTTGGTTGGCACGTTTAAAGACTTCCATGGACTTCTTATGACATGAGTGCAGCAATGCTTCCTTCTGCCATGAAAATGAGTCATTCGGACATTGCTAATATGACTTGTGCATGCACGACCTTGGTTCAGATTGTATAAGTTTGAATCCCTGTGCTTCCACTTCCGCTGTACCTTCTCTCGTTCCCACAGGTACAGGACATGTGGGGCACGGAGTTTTATCAGGGCCTCTACAAACGAAGCAGACAGCCCCCATCCGCTTCCCCCTCTGTCTCCTCCGCCCCCCCCTCTCCCCCCTGGCGCACCACCAAGTACACTGATGGGGACTGCGCGGGGGGGATGGGGGGAGATGGGGCGGACGGGTTGGGGGAAGCGGGGAGCGAAAGGGTGACGGATTTTGGCAGTATTTGGGAGAGGCGGCTGCTGTACTGTGTGCCTGTGAGTGTTGGTGGTTGGCTTTTCTTGGCTCTACATTCAAAGCCTCGCTTTCAATCTCCACTCACTCTTATTTCGTGTTTTTGTAGAATCCCTCTTGCCAGTGTTCCTCCCAGTTTCCCCCTTTCCAAATTCTCCTCTCAATAACTCCTCTTCTCCTCCACCTTCCTTATTCTCTTTCTTCGCCCCCACACTACCCATCATCTCCTCTCTCTCTCCCCCCCAGATACCAGGGGAGCAGCCATGGGCGCGAGCTCTCAGGGACGGGGGGGGGGGAAAGGGGGATCCGGGGGAGAGGGGAGGGGGGAAGCGGAGGGGAGGAGGGCAATGGAGCGGAGAAGAGGGGCAGAGATGAAGGGGACGCTGAAGCTATGGTGGGTGTCAACGTGGGTGCCCCACTGTGCGGCTTTCTGGCTGTCCCTGATTGACTTACCTTGCATGTGTGCCTGTTGAGTCATCCGTGCGTGTCTTCTCTATCCCTGTCATATGTTCAATCTGTGAGCCAATCCATTGGCGCTGTAATGCTGCCACTGCTCACAGTCTTGATGCTGCAATCACGTTTTTTATGCACGCTATGCAGAAAAGACGTGATTGATGTGGCAATTCTCATTGGGCTGTTCTTAATTTATTATCACCCGTGAGAATTCCCATGCTCCCACTACCCGCGGTTCCTATTGCCTGCAGTGCATGGACGCGGAAGGCAGGACTGCTTAGTAAAAATGATTCTTGAGAATTTGCGTGTTTTCTTACTTCCCACGGTTCTTATTTCATGCAGTGTTTGGACGCGGAAGGCAGGACAGCTGCCGGTGAAGCGACCGACTCCAAGCGACAGGTATGCGCCCCCCGCTGCCCTTGGCTACTATGCACACAGGTAAAGTTGTTGGTACAGAAACGTGATAGAAGTGTAATTTTGAGACATCTCAAAATCACACTTTTATCACATTGCCTCCCGCCCTTGGCTGTCACGCACACAGGTGAAGTTGTTGGCTGTCACGCCCTTCGCTGAACTGGATAATTTCGTGGAGTGGAGGCTGCCCTTTCCTCCTCCGCTCCCCTTGTCCCCACTCTCTCCCCCTTCCCGACTCCTCTCCCTGCATGCATTTCTTGCTTCCCCTCCCCGCCAGGCCACCGCCGCAGTTACTAACACCACAGGGGCTGCCAACCTCACCAGCAGCAGCAACACCCCTGCACAGCCCAGCAGCACTGCTGCTGCTGGCGACACCCCTCCGTTCGTGGATCTACACTTCCCTCTCGGGCCCTCTGCTGCTGCTTCTCCCCATGGGCACCCCCTTCTACCCTGCATCGTCAAGGTGAGCTTCAGAGCAGCAACACCCCCACACCCGCACAGCTCGGCAACTCTACTGCCAGCGACCCCCCTCCGTTTGTGGATCTGCACTTCCCTCTCGGCTCGGCCCCTCTGCCTCTGCTTCCCACGGCCGCCCGCTGCTGCCGTGCATTGTCAAGGTGTGCGTTAGCGCTGCATGCTCACTGCGTGTACGCACCCGGGTCACTCCCTGTGTGCCTCACTGATTTGTTTCTGGTGTCGCTCGCCTGTGCACACTCTTGCTGCACTCACCCCTCCTCATTCTTTTCTCGCTCTCCCGCATGCGTGCATCGCCCCATCAGCTGCACGACAGTCAAGCTGAACCAAATGGTGGAGTTCGTGCGGGTGGTGATAGCACGACCCTCGCCCACGCTCAGGCCCTGTCCTTCTCTCGTCTCTCGCTCTCCCGCATGCGTGCATCGCCCCAGCAGCTGTACGACAGTGTGGAGTCCCAAGTCAAGCTGAACCAGGTGGTGGAGGTCGTGGGGGTGGTGGCACCGCTGTGACTCACATTTGCAACCTCTCTCTCCCTCCCACGGTTGCCTGTGTACGCATCACATCGCCCTGTCAGCTGTACGACAGTGTGGAGTCACCACACACATCGCAGCTAAAGCTCAATCAGGAGGGGGAGTTGGTGGGGGTGGTGGCACCACACACATGCGTTCACTGTTCCTCTCTTCCTTCCCCTCATGCATGCACGCCCTTACCAGCTGTATGACAGCGTGGAGTCGCAACTGAAGCTCAATCGGGTGGTGGAGTTTGTGGGGGTGGTGGCACCACAGCCACTCTCTCCTGAAACCTCTCTCTCCCTCTCACGGTTGCCTGTGTACGCATGCGTGCATCTCCCCACCCATCAGCTGTACGACAGTGTGGAATCCCAAGTAAAGCTCAACCAGGTGGTGGAGTTCGTGGGGGTGGTGGCACCACCATCCGCTCCCACCGTGCATACTGCCCACACAGCAGCACACGACGAAGGCACAGCCACAACCGCAGGTGCAGCGGCAACTGCAGGTGCAGGCACAGCGATGGAGGTGGAGATGATGGGGGCTGACATGGGCATGGGAGCGTGCCCCTCCGCCTGTCTGCCCAGCAGCCAGGTGCTGCGCCTGCACTGCCTCACTTGGCGGAAGCTCCCCGACCTCTTTCAGCCTGCCATGGAGCCAACTGTAGCGGTGAGTGTTAGCGGGCATGGGACTGGGAGGGGAGGTGGGCATGGGAGGGGAGGGGCCCCTCTGCCTGTCTACCAGGTGCTGCGCCTGCACTGCCTCACCTGGCGGAAGCTTCCCGACCTCTTCCAACCGGCCATGGAGCCAACTGTAGCGGTGAGCATCATTGTTATCCCATCCTTTGTGGCCTCTAGGGTTGCCCATCAGTCCACCATCCCTCCTCAGTACCACGCTCCTTGTGTGACCCTGCCTTGTTCAACATTTCTGTGTGGTCCACCCCATTCCCCCTCACTGACTTCTCCTCGTTTCTTGCCTTTGAGTCGACTGAGGAGTGACCTCAAAATGTGCCGCTCCCTTTCCCCTTCCCTGGCCTCTCCTCATCTCTTACTGTTTCCTCCCCCGCCGCCTCCAAATGCCATTCTGCAGGCAGCGGCGGGCATCAGGCCGGCGCTGCTGTCCCGACTGGCTGCTGTCCCGACTGGCTGCTGTCCCGACTGGCTGCTGTCCCGACTGGCTGCTGCGCCACTGGCTTTTGGGTGGACTGAGATGAGAAATCACTTCGAACTCTCCTCTCCTCCATCCCGCTCCCCCGCACATTCCCCATGCAGGCAGCAGGAGACATCAGGGCGGCGCTGCTATCCCGATTGGCTGCTGCTCTGGGCGGCGACAGGCTGGCAGCAGAGTACCTGCTGTTGCACCTGCTGTCGCGGGTATGGATTGGATGAGGTGATATGGCATGGGTCATGCCACGAACTGGTCTCTCGGGTGCTGTTGCTTAAGACATGACATGATATGATGTTGTGCGTGTCAAATGATAGGCTGTGTATGATCCGTGGTGTGCTGTGCTGGTATTGAGTGGAGTGGTATCATGCCGTGAATCTCACACCACATTGTGCATGCATTATGCATTGCCACCATCCACATCCCACTGCTCCACCATGCTTCAACAGCGTTCTATCCCCCTGTCCCCTGCATTGCTGGGTGCATGTCCGAATGTATGCATGTGTCCATTTCTGCATGTACACACGAGTGGGTCCACGTGCATGCTTGAATCTATGTCTGCATGCATGCATGCATGTTCTGAGACGTCTCAAAACTCATATCCTTGAACCATGTCTGCGTGCATGAATGCATGCATGTTCTGAGACGTCTCAAAACTCATATCCTTGAACCATGTCTGCGTGCATGAATGCATGCATGTTCTGAGACGTCTCAAAACTCATATCCTTGAACCATGTCTGCGTGCATGAATGCATGCATGTTCTGAGACGTCTCAAAACTCATATCCTTGAACCATGTATGCATGCATGCATCCCATCAGGTACACACGCGCATAGAGCCCATGCCTCTGGGTAAACTCTCCCTTAACCTCTCCGGCTTCCCAGAACCTTCCTCTGCCTCCACTCCCTCTCACCCCCCTCCTCCTCTCTCCTCCTCCCCTCCCTCACTCTCCCAAGCTGCCTCCCCCTCTCTCTCCGCCCTCACCTCCTCTCTCCAAACCCTCCTCCCAGCCACCGCCACTCTCCCTCTTTCCCTCGACACTCTTAACTCGCGCCGCCTCGCACCCCACAAAGACTATACCTCTGACAGGCTAGTATCTGGTGTGCTGCAGCTGCCAGCAGGGACGCACCTAACTATTGACGAGACGGCTTTAAAGCCGGGACGGGTGACGGCGCTAGGGAGTCAGAACCTGCGGGCTCTTAAAGAGCTATTGGAGTGGCAAAAAGTGGACTATGATTTTCAGTACTATAAGATGGAGATGCAGAGTGACATACCTGTACTCATTCTCTCACACGCCACGTCACGCCTCCTGCCTGCTGACGTCAGCTTGCCTGTTCGGTGCACCGCGCCACCTCAGCCTGTGCGTGAGGACGAGCCGGACGTCGCCACGTGGCGGCGTTACATAGGCTGCTGCCGGCTGTTAGATCATGAGATCAAGGACGATATGCGGGAGGTGCGTGGCCTGTGGTTGCTGCTGAGAGGGCATGTGGTTTATGCTCATTCATGAATGAGAGGATAGCATGCCAGAGGTGCGTGCTTGAGTTTCCTCATGAGAGCATTGCTCATGCGTGTGTTTGCTGCAGAGTGTTTTTATGATGTGGTGCAATTATGTGCAGTGCACATGCATGTGAGTGCACATGGGCAATGGGCATGTCACAGCCCTTCCAGCCACAGCAGCCCGTGTTCACCACCTCACACATCCCACCCCCCCTGGTTACCACCCGTGTGGGCAGCAAGTGGAGCGGGAGCTAGTGGCAGCGAGACAGGAGGACCCATCTCTAGACTCCGATACTTTCCACCGGTACGTGCTGCCTGCCCACTGCTGCTGGGGATGGGGCCTGATGGGCGATGGTTGCTGCCTGCTGCTGGACATTTGTTGGGCTCCTCAGGACCTAGTGGCAGCGAGACAGGAGGACCCATCCCCCGACTCCGATACTTTTCACAGGTGTGTTCTGCCTGCCCACTGCTGCTGGGGAATGCCTACTGCTGGTCATTTTTTATGTTCCTCAGAAGCTAGTGGCAGCGAGGCAGGAGGACCCCACTCTCGACTCCGATACTTTTCACCGGTAGATGCTGCTTGCTTCCGGGCGATGCCTGTTGCTGAGTGATGTTGGCGGCGTGCATGTAAATCAATATTGATTCTATGACTGATTTGTGGTTGTCGATGGGTGGGCAATGGCATGCAGGTGGCTCACGTTGGCTCGCTTGGCCGCAGCAAGCTTTGGAGAGAGGGAGCTCTCGAGGGAGAGGTGGCAGGCAGTCAGGGACCTGGAGCAAGCCAGGGAGGCTCGTAACCGAGTGGTGTAGGTAAAATGGGAGAACTTGTACAATGAAGTTAGATGCTCAGAATTCAGTTGAGGCTACAAATATAGATTGTTTTGAACTGACTCATTGTAACACCGTATCCACCTGACGTTAACATTCACCAAAACATCACTTTTTTGTGTTGCACGAATCGAGGCCGAGTGTACCGCGGCGGTCCGAACGACTTCGAGCCCCGCAGCTGTCTGTCCGTGGCACGACGCTGCTGCCGACCAAAGCTTGCGCGGCAAGCCATGCCAAGCCCTTGAAGGGGCAGTGGAGTCCTACTACCTTGAAGTCTCGATAAATTTTTTCCTGAAGGTATTTCTCAAGTTGAGATTCCCTCCGAGTTTTTCCTCCGCCCGGATTCCCTCGAGACTTCAAGTCTTCGCGCTCTCGCTCTCGAGGCTATCCTTTCGAATGGTATATCTCAGCGGACAAGCGAGTCCGCCCGGGGGAGCTCGCTGCCCGCGGGCAAAAAAAACTAAACCCCATTCGGGCATGCATCCGGTCAGGGAGCCTCAACCCTAAACGCGGGGAGGCATGGATTTTAGGGTTGAGGCTCCCTCGGATGGCATGCCATCCGATGGGGTTTTAGTTTTTTTCTGCCCGGGGCAGCATGTCGACAGGTCGTCGGAGGGTCGTCAGGCTTGACGACCCGTTTCCGCTGAGATTTTCCGGGGATTCCGGCAGGAGCGAAATGGTTCGCAAATAGTCGTGGTTCGTCGCGCGAACATCGCAGACCTCGTAGTTAAATGATGCCAACATGCCAGCTGTCCTCAACCTATCCACGTGCGTACACGTGTCTGGGACCTCAACCTATCCACCTCCACCTCACCTCAACCTCGTCGGCCTCGACCCGGAGCGCCATGAAAATCTCCGAATCGCGAAAGACTTCATGCGAGACGGCATTTTCAAGGGCTCGCCCCACTCTCGCCTCCAAGAATCGTCGTTTAGTCCCAACTGGGCGTGGCCTCTCATCGCCTGCAAGACACGTAGAGCCACTGGCTTTAGCCACTATTGGCAATAGTCGAACATAGGGTAGAGCGAGTGAAAGCTATTAATTTCTACTTTCCAGCCTAATTCAGCCCCGACAAAGGAAGCTACTATCACGGCGCGTCTCAGACGCCTTACGTGAAATTTCAGTCCCTTTTCTAAGGATATCCCCTCGCATTGCACTGAAACCGCAATGGATTCGCCTTTTTTCGCCCGTTCGTACATCGCTCGCAACACCCCCAGTAGCGGCGGCGGCGGCGGCGGCGGCGGCAACGGTTTGAAAAAGCGCGGGTGGGACAGCCTCTCCCCGTCGCCCTCTCCCAAGTCCTCGCTCCTATTCCCCGAAAGCCCCGCGGGTCGCACAAGAACCTGTAATCACGGTTCGTGCGACGGCAGCAGCGCCGCGAATGTCGCTCTCAGTTCGCCAGTCGAATTAGTTACGACTCGGAAGCGTTATCGAGAATCCTCAAGCTTTTTGGATCCGCTATTCGGCCGGCTCAAACCCTCCGTCCGATGCGTTCGATCCAACGGTCCGCGGCAGTCGCTGCAGCCGCTCGAATCGGCCGGGCAGTACGAACCAGCACCCACGCCGAAATACATCCAATGGCCGCCCTGCGACGCGCGTGCCTCGCACGCGTCGCCACGCGCCCGCCACGAGTATTTTTGCCAGCACCTGTCGTCCCCTGTTCCAGCTCCAACCCAACATCACCCCGCGCCCCCCGCCGTAAATCTCGCTACCGAGCCTGTTACCGCTAGCAGTGGGAGCACCGAACCTAGAGCGAGTCTTGGCGAGCTGCTGACAGATCTGACGCTCGGCGGGCCGCGGATTCCCCGCGGCGCCATGATGACGCGACCCGCGACGACGATCGCACAGCTGATGCTCATCCGCACGTGCCACGGCGAGGCGCTTCGCCGCCACAGCCTCGGCACCGCGCTCGGCTTGCGCACGCGGCGCGGAGTGCTGACGGATATCCCTGCTATAGTCGTCTTCGTTCCAAGAAAGGTGCACGAGGAGTGGCTACTGCCGGCGCAGAAGCTTCCTCGGAAGCTGCAGGGGCCGGGCGGGTACGAGTGTGACGTGGACGTGGTGGAGTTGACCAATCGGATGAGCAGCAGTAGCAGCAGCACATCCCAAAAAATTCCTCCGCAAATTTCTACCCCAAGGTCACATCAGTGTTACCCCGATTAGTGATACCCCAAGGTCGCCAGCAGTGATACCCTAATGTCACCCCGGTCGAGGATTCAGTTCGTTGTCACACTGGGGTGACCCCGAGATGTGACCCACCTGTTACCCCACTCTACCTCCCGCGAAGTTTGGGCCCAATCACGTGCGTTCCCGCTTCCCGCTTCACACGAGCCGCTTCCGCGCTGTAAACTTACTCGATTACAACAACAACATATCTACAATACTGTATATTCTTTTTTGTCAGCTAAACATGCTATTATAATTTTCATTCGGCTATAACCACAATTAGTATTGATATCAATCATTTACAATAATTTTTGTCACAGACGGACAGCTTAGTGCCAGTATAATATGTATACAGAAGCTGGTCGATTCCATTAACCAATCTGCACATTTTAAATAAAACATTACAGAAACACTTTCTCACATGCAGACAACGTGCACTACTCTGCAGACACAGCACGTTATAAAAACTGTGTTAATCACTCAGGAGAGCTCCAGCACAACCTCACTACCCTATGTAGACGATAGTTTGCTCCTGCAACACACGACACAAAGTGAACAGGAACACACGATATTGCAGGATTCTTACCACACGAATACGTGACAGGACCGCTTTTCGTTTTCTGCACCAAGTGGCGACATTCAGACAGGGGAAGGGTGGTAAGAGTGAGAGTAGTGAGAACAAAGGGGAAAAACATCGGTACACAAGGAAACATTATTGTCACGCCACAGGTGTCTATTATGCACCGCATGCTCACCAGTAGAGAAATCTGACCAGATACGAAGGCAACGAAATTCGATGACCGCACGGAAGATGGAACACAGGAAGCGTTCTCACGACATCGCGGCCGACGAAGACACATTCTAGACCTCCACACATGAGCGCCTGGCACAACGGTTGACGACGCCTGCAAAGAAACACACATGGCGCGAGGAAAATTTTAAGCAACTGACGATAAAAAAGCACATTAACATGCACGCCAAAAATCACCAGGGTATTGACGTTGCTTAACAACGGAAAGTGTAAACCCGAAGCTAAGCTACTTATCGTTCAAGTATAATCTCCAGAAAGGTCTAGGAAATCTAGGCAGCGTAAAATGCGGACATGGCGGCGAGTTAAGAGAAATCCTAGAACTCAAACAGCTTGGCAGCGAGAAACAATAAGGGAAGTGGTCGAGATGGGATTGTGAAATACATCTAGGAGGGACTCTTTTGCTGAAGTGACTAGGACAAATGTGATTGGTGCACGAAATCCTTGCTGCCACCTAGCGAAACACATCAGTAGATCCTCAATAAAGAGAATCTCGATATTTAGAGATCATTGTTGAACATAGCTGATGTTATCATGATCTTCAACGTATACAGTGCCTGGGTTGAGCTGTGGTTGCCGAAACAGTGTGCACTAACCAGGTGAGTAGGGTCGATCCGAAGCTGTTGGGGTATCTCCTGGGTTACAACGAATTGGAGCTCTCCCCTGATTGGTCCGCTTTCATCACCCGAAATCCCAATCGCGAGAATTACCACTTCGCAGCGATCGCCAGCCCTCTGGGGTAACCTGCGGGAAAGTTGGTGGGAACATCAGGGTTACCCCCCGAGTGTGACCTGGGGGTATCCCACGCTTTCCAGCCAATATCGGCCTCGTGATTTTTGGGATGCAGCCCGGGCGCTGCGGGCCACGTGGCAGGTGACGTGGCAGGTGACGTGGCGGGTGACGTGGCAGGTGCGGCAGGAGTAGCGGCAGAGGTAACTATTATCGATAACCCGTTGGTGGAGCTGTTGCGGGGGAGCGGCAGTGAGATCGGCCCGGGGTCGCAGATTGCAAGCGAGGAGGTGTGTGGAACGCTGGGGGCGATTGTAAGAAGAACCAACAGCAGCGGCAGCGGCAGCGGCAGCGTCGGCGGCGGCGGCAGTGGCAGGGGCAGCGGCAGCAGCGAAAGACATGGGGGAACGAGTGAAGCTGGCGTGATGAGTAGCTCTGATAGGGGCAGTGGTTGCCTTGGGGTGGGGTTTCTGGCGACTCGTCACGTGGCAGTTGATCTGGACCAGCCGAAGCAAAAGCTGTTTCACCCCCTGCCCTCCTCGCTTGGTCCGGGGAGGTTCCTAGGCTCGGTGGAACGAGCCTTGCCGTTTGCCTCGGACCACGCGTGGTTCGGCGTGTTTGCCAACATGAGCCCAGGTGCCAAGTGTACTCGTTATTAACTGATGCCTTAAGCTGTAGCACTTAACCAGTTTTAACGCGTGGTTCAGCGTGTTTGCTGTAGTGTTCCTCTACATGTTTTATTCCTCCCTATCACTGACACCATGCTTCCTTCTTCATCGCCCCCTCCCCTTCTCCTCAGTCTGTCTCCCCCATTCCTTTCCCAATCTCCTACTTTCCTTGACTCCTCACATGTCCCAACACATCTTTCCCACGTCCATTGTCCCCTTACAAGCAGACTCGCTTGTGCGCACGTACATTTCTTTCCACGAGGAGTTTGACCTATCAGTTGTGACGACGCAAGTGGCGGGAATCGGCCCCATTGGTCCGCCCCGCCATATCAACCTATCAGACGACATTCGGAGTGTGGTGGGGCATCACGTGTGGAAGGTGCGTGGAAGATGCGATGGAAGGTACGTGGAAGGCACATGGAAGGCCCGTGGAAGGTGTCTAGGTGAGAGAGATGCAAGCGTGATGGCAGAGCCAAGACGTTCTGCACCTCCCACGTGCTCTCTGCTCTCTCAACTCTCCCTTTGCTCCAAATCCTCTTTCTTCTGCCCTATTTTTTGCTCTCCCTTTCTCTCCTCTCCTCTCACATCCTCTCTCCTCCCTCCTCATCTCTTC